TGTAGTAACTTCCAAACCAATAATAATAATTACTGCAAATGACTGCATAAAAAATCAGCTTGTGTTAAAATAATCTGAAGAGTTTCTGTTTGGTCTCTCAGATTTACCCAGTGACTCAACAATCACAGTCAAATCGCATCGCCCTGCTGATCAACATTGAAACGTTTAATACAAGTTTATACAATGTAGAGCTGCGAAAGATGAGAAAGTCATGCAAAGTCTACTTCAAACTCTTGGATATGAGGTAGTGAGATGTGGGGACATCACTGCAAAGGTAACTTTTAAAAGCAGAAAAGGTTTCTTCACTTGCACCCAGTTTTACAAACTGGTTAAATGATCCAGTGACTGGTTTCTTCTCACAGATGATCGATAAACCTCTGAAAGAATTTTCTGAACACCCAAAACTGGCCCTCACAGACAGTGTGTTTGTGACTTTGGTGTGTTATGGAGGCACGGGAACTGAGGAGTTTGAAATTGACCAAATCTTTCAGCACTTAAACTCAAAGAACTGTCCTGCACTGAAGGACAAACCAAAGATCGTCATTATTCACGCCTGCAGAGGAGGTGATTCTCATCTGTCCTCACACACCCAACAAACAGCATGAATGAATCTTCAATGAATTTACTGTTAATATTTGTTCATTTGAAAAGGTAAAAGATCGACACGTTTCAGTAAGTCTGTGTGTTTGTTTCAGTGGGGAGGAATCGGTGGATTTACTTGATAGGACACAATTTGTGCCCACAGACGACATCGAATCTCTGTCAGTGAACTCTGTCAAAGGTCCTCGGACACACAATGAAAAGGATTTCATCATTTTTCATTCCAGCACCACTTGTAAGTGCACCACCCTCCAATAAGTAACATTTAGAACAATCAAACACCGCCTAACTACAGATATGATCTGGTTCTGTTTGCTTGCAGACACAGGTTCATACACTCATGAAACATACGGTTCTGCCTTCATCCAACACATCTGTGAGGCTGTCAAAAAGCACTGCCTTAGAGATGACATTGAGGAAATATTCAGAACGGTAAGTTTGGCAAGTGGAATATATGGAATACACAAATACATACATATCTATCTATCTATCTATCTATCTATCTATCTATCTATCTATCTATCTATCTATCTATCTATCTATCTATCTATCTATCTATCTATCTATCTATCTATCTATCTATCTATCTATCTATCTATCTATCTATCTATCTATCTATCTATCTATCTATTATCTATCTATCTGTGTGTGGAATCATGTTAAGTGCAGTCTAACCAACAGGTCATGCAAAGCTTTGAAGAATTCCCATCTGAGCAGATGCCAACCAAAGAGAGAGACACTCTGACAAAGCGCTTCTACGTGTTTCAAAGTGAGTGTTACAGGTTTTTGATGTGACTTTAAGATATTGTGTTGTTTTGGGATGACAGGACACACGAGACTGCATGAAATGTTCAGTCTGGTTTATTCACATCGATGAGCGACTGATGGAACTAAAGAGCAATGATGATGATGATGATGAACAAAACAGAAAAGCATCCCACAACATTAAGTTCCCAGTGGACAGTTCTGTGTGGCATCAGTCCATATGAGAGTCCTCCATGATCCACAGGGCTTCAATATTGAGGTCCAGGCTCTGAGGAAGCCGGTGCATGGCTCACAGTGTTTCATTGTGTTTGTGTTTCATTGTGTTTGTGAAGTTCACCTGATCGACACACCAGCTGTCAACAACTGTACCATCCGTGCTCCAGTTATGTTGAGTCTTCCCAGGCACCTCAACCCCTACTCACATCTTGCGTCTCAATGGGTCACATGATAGAGTGAGGCAAGGTTTCACCATAGTTTCATCCAAAAGCTCTGCTGATAATGACCCACACCTTTTTTTATAACTTGGATCTTGTGATGAGGCACATGATCAATAGTGTGCCAATGATCCTCTTAAGTGGACAACTCCCACTAGAGTTTAAACACCAAAGGAGAAACCTCTTCAAAAGCTTCATGAGGTCCAGTCGCCGTCTTCCAAAGCTGCTTAGATCGAATAAACGGTAAATGGACTGGTTCTTATTTAACTCAACACAACGTGCCTCATTCACCTTTCTATATAAGAGCTTTCTATCTAACATGCACACATATTTATATTCTGATGGATGCGTTGAATCCATCAATCTTCTTCAGTAGTTTATGTAGACTAAAAATGACCATGACAAGCAGAGGACGAATGTCAGCACATCAAAGTCTCTTGGTGGCTTTACTGCTTTCACTCAACTGATATATGAGGAAAAAACACTTTGACTTCCTACTTTTGTTCTGTTTCATTCAAAAAACAAAACATGTAGGTGTTGTGAAAATTGTAATATTTGATTTTAAAAGAGCAATTCTGATTCAAGATGCACCTGAAGAAGTGAAGCAGTGGTCTGCAGGAAAGGAGTCTCTAAACAGGTATGAACAGATCCCTTCACTCAGCCTGTTTGTTTTATGCAGATGTAAGAGCTACATGAAGTCTTCCCTCTGTGACAGTATGAGTGATGATGTCCATGTTAGCATGTTGCCAACGACTGTGCTGGTTTGACCCTCCTCTCCCTGCAGGGTGGAGCCTGATGGCGTCCGACGGGTGAGCTCGGATCTGAAGAAGTGTACGTTTGATTTTATGATGATTCTTGGAAACAAATCCAACCGTCTTTAAACTACTGTGTCGCTCATTCATATCTCTGATATCAGGAGTCACCATCAAAGAGCCGATCAACGAATAGATGATCGATCAATAACTGCAGCTGGATTTATTTGTTCTCTCTATCAGATTCCTATCAACTCACAATCGACCCAAACACAGTATACAAATGGATCCAGCTGTCTGACAGCAACAGAGAGGTGATGCGTTTGAATGCACAGCAGCCATATCCTGATCATCCAGAGAGATTTGACCGCCCTCAGCTGCTGTGCACAGACGGGCTGACTGGTCCTTGTTACTGGGAGGTTGAGTGGAGTGGATATGTTTCTATAGCAGTGAGCTACAAAGGAATCAAACGGAGAGGACACAGTGATGACTGCTTGTTTGGACTGAACAGTCAGTCCTGGAGCCTGGACTGCTCTTACTCTTACTCTGTCTTGCACAATAACACAGAAACCTTCATCCCCAAAGACGTTGTCTCCAACAGAGTAGCAGTGTATGTGGACCATCCTGCCGGCACGCTGTCCTTCTACAATATCTTCTTGGACTCTCTGATCCACCTCCACACCTTCAACACCACATTCACTGAACCTCTGTATCCTGGATTTGGAGTCTGGTCTCATAATTCTTCAGTGAGAATAATGAAGCCGGTCCATGTGCACTGCTCTCCTCCAACAGAGTAGCAGTGTATGTGGACCGTCCTGCCGGCACAGCAAACAACCTCTATCCTGGATTGAAGCTTGGTTTCATAATTCTTCAGTCAGTCTGTGCTTAGTTCAGTATAAAACTCTGAGAAGCACTGCTAAATAGACCTTTCAGTCTGCATCTTGCACTCAAAAACACTTTCAGATTCATGGATTCAATGATTTAAACTCCTCTAAATGATTCCTTCTTAATTTCAATCCGTTGAAGATTGAAGCTTCCAGCAACCGTAGAGTGTGAGCCAGGGTCCAAGCTGGACAGGTCACCAATCTGAGACAGGGCTGACATTAACTTCATTCCACTAACTGCATGTCTTTGGACTGTGAGAGGAAGCTGGAGCACCCAGAGAGAATCCAAACAAACAAGCTGAGAACATACAAACTCCACACATGAAGGTGAAGTTGGACTCGGGACTTTGTTGCTGTGAGGTGACGGTGCTGACCTCTGCACCAAAGCTCTTCTGACATGGGGCTGAGAAAATATTTTGCACTGCTGATGAGAAAGAGAAATTCCTGCTTGAACAATGTTCTTTGTGTGATAGAGACTAAATATATATTGATCTTCAGTTTTCTTTACTGATGTGCTTTGTGTGAAGTGTGTTTCTTCTGCTTCGAGTATTTTAAAGTCACTGATACAACAACCACGTTTTTCCTCACCTGGAGCCTTTCAATGAGAGCTTTAGATGAGAAATTCATCATGATGTTTAAATTGAATTCAACTTTATTTACACAGCACCAAATCACAACAACAGCCGCCTCAAGGTGCTTTATATTGTAAGGTCGACCCTACAATAATACACGCAGAGAGAAACCCAGCAATCATATGAAGTCCAGATATGTAATAGTCATTAACATGATCAGAGCCACGAGTGGTTTTAATCTCAGGAAGTTTATACAACAACTTGTAGCACCAACTGTAGTTAAATGAGGCTGCACAACATGAAATGCAGACTACAGAATTTCACTTTAATAATACTGAATGAGAGGAGCAGCAGCTAAGTCGTCTACATAAACCTGGAACAGTGTTTATTGATAGGCTGCGGACACTGCGCTGGTTGCCTGGGGTCAGGAAACTCTCAGGGTTTGCCTGCTCTCGTTGTGCCTAACTGAGCTAGTCTGGGTAAACAGGCACAACATTCACTGGCTTCATCTGGACTGAACCACGGGGAAAACCGGTGACAAGAACACTCTTCCTCCGGGAAGAGGGAGCATGGCTCCTCATCCTCCCACCACAACCACACCAATGATGAAGCTGGTTCATTCATGGAACTGTCTGGAATGCCGAATAACAGGAGCTCTTACAAGCTGGGCACCAGCGTCACAGCTTGAATGCTGGGTGGCAGCGGTGATGGTGGTGACCTGGGTGACCGGTGCAATAAGACTGCTGACTAAGAAGGCAGCAACAGACGAACTCCAGAAAACTCATCTCCAGTCAACCAGGGAACACATGATGGTAGGTCAACATAGACTGACACAGACACTGAGGAATAAACAGCACTAATTAAACACCCGAGGGTCAGAGGCATCAGGAGAAACAAGAGTGTAACAAGACGCAGGTGAGGATCATCAGAAGCAATGAGACAGAAGGTAAAACTAGACCAGCAACCGTCAGGACGTCAGAACCTTTAACTAGGGGAGCTGACACGAGAGGACACGATCGGAAAGGGAACAAATTAAACTCTGAACCAGGTGAACAACATTACTGCAAATACTTTGTGTTACAAATATTTTCAGAGTCACCTATTTTAATGCAGCCCCTCACTCTGACAGTGTAATTTCACAGGATTAACTAATTTATTTGGATCACGTTTGAAATGTCATGATTTTTGCTGTAGATTAACAGATGGGAGCATTCAGACCACTGCAGTAGCAACAACCAGTTCAGTCAGCGCTACTTTCTCCTGAGATGAAGCCAAAATGTTCCTTTCTTTCTTCCGTGTTTAGAAGCATCTGGACCTGCTCGTCATCACTCGTGTCCACTTCTTACACTTACAGTGCATTTTTGAGGAACACCTTTACTGTGTATATATCACGGTTATTATAGTGAACTAATATAATCTGCATGTGAAAAGCCTTTTGGTTAACTAAAACAAAAATAAAAACTAGACCTGAAATTATTTTGTGAACTTGGAAAAAAGAAAGATTAACGGTGGAAATCCCCGTAGTTTCAATATTTGTGAATTTGATCAAAACGTTCAGAATGTGCTTTATGAGGCTTTATGTGACGTTTGCCATCCAGGCAATAATAATTAATAAAGACTAAAACTAAAACAGACAATGACAGTTAAAAATAAATATTCTTAAACATTGCAAACTAAACTGAAATGATTCAACTCAATCTAAAAACTTATTAAACCTACATTGAATTAAAAGCCAAATGTGATGGTCTCTGTCGTCTCCAGCTGATTTCTCGGTTTGTTTGCTGTCTGTCTCTGGACTTTAGTTTTCTCTCTCTCCTCTGTCTGTGTTCCTTTGTTGTTGTTTGTGTTCCTTTGTTGTTGTTTGTGTTCCTTTGTTGTTGTTTGTGTTCCTGAGTGGGCCTCGTCTCAGCTTGCTGCCTCTGACCTGACCCACGTGTCTCCGATGATCTCAAATGCAGAATTGAGCTGGCTGTCATTCTTCACTGGACTGTTGGATTAGAGTTAGTGAAGCCCTGGCTCTCCTGCTCAGTGTTTGTGCTGCTTCTGATGCTTCAAGATACTTGCTGTGTGTTTCTTCTGTGTAGACTCCTGGTTTTGATCTTCCCAGGGCCCTGTTTCAGGAAGCCGGTTTAGTGGAAAAACTGAGTAAGTATACCCTGAGTTAACGAAAACTCTGGGTTTTCGGTTTCACAAAGCGAGTTCAGCTGAAGCCTGAGTGAGTCACTATGACGACACACGCCGTGAAGCTAACCTGCCCCCTAGCAGGTTTACTACAACTAACCCCGACTGTCTCCGCCCCTTTGTCGGAAACCTGACAGTAGGAAGTGTCGGACATGGCGTGTCCCTTCCTTGAAGAGCCAGTAGATCGTGAAGCCCAAATTCTCCGCAGAGCTCTCCGCCGGGAGAGAGTGATCAGAGCGCGTTTGGACATTTTATCATTTCCTGATGATTTTCTGTGTGAACGTTACCGTTTCTCAGCACAATCTATAAGTTATTTGGATAACATCCTCAGGCCATATATTACGCATGTGACACATCGCGGACATGCTCTCAGTTCTGTACATATTATTTGTATCGCACTTCGGTTTTTTGCAAACGGGAGCTTTCTGTATAATATTGGTGACGCTGAGCACGTTTCCAAGGCTACCGTCTGTCGGGCAGTCAGGAATGTTACAGTTGCACTGAAACGTCTCCTGCACTCGTCTGTGGTGTTCCCCGGTCATAGACCCACAAGATTTATCAAAGAGGGATGCCACAAATTGCAGGTATCAGGATGAACGAAACTTAATTCATGATGTGGTGATACTTGAACTACTACTTAAATTTCACATTTATTTTCACGGTTCCCAGGCGTGATTGGCTGTATAGATGGCACTCACATTCCAATCATTGCTCCTTCAGTAAATGAAGGAGACTATGTGAACAGGAAATCCTTCCACAGCATTAATGTGCAGGTACATAGTTCCCTGTAGCATTTCAAACTAACAAATTATTTCATTATAGTAATGGATGCTAATTTGTGTTCTCTGCACTGTGAAGATCATATGTGATGCTGCCAACATTATCACAAATGTGGAAGCCAAGTGGCCAGGCTCTGTCCATGACTCACAAATATTCCGTGAATGTACACTGAGCACAAAATTTGGACATGGTGAGTTGAGAATACTGTAAAATATATAAAGACCAATTGCTACAGGGACATTTGAACTGAAGTGTATCCTTCTGTCTTAGGAGAGTTCACTGGCTACTTGCTTGGTGATAGGGGTATCCATGTTTACCCTATTTGCTTACCCCTTACTCTGACCCTGAACCGGGCCCACAGCAGCGATATAATCTGGCTAATTGCAGGACAAGAGCCAGAGTTGAAATGACTATCGGAATGCTTAAGGCCCGGTTCCAGTGCCTGCAAAGACTCAGGGTCACCCCAGAAAGGGCATGTGACATTATTGTGGCATGTGTGATTCTTCACAACATTGCCACAATTAGAGGAGAACACTGTCCTTCTGAACCAAACATCAGCAGTGATCCAAACCATGAACATCCTGACCGGACATACAAGATGGAAGAGCAGTCAGAGACACCATATGTCACAATCATTTCTTTTGACCCATCACCTCAACATGTTGAAAGAAGAATAAACAGATTTTTTGTTCAACTGGCTTTATTGGTCACCTGTGTTTCCTGTACACAAAGTATTAAAAGATGTAAACCTCATAAAGTGTCTCTGTTGCTTCCTCCTCTGTAACAGCTGTCAATGTTTCTTCATTATTTTCCTGTAGTAAAGAAATAAACAACATTGCTGTTCTACTGTAAACTCATATAATCTGTGGAGTATTACTCACAACTGCATGTTGGTCTGGCTCAACAGGAGGCTGCACCAGATGCAGTACACCATCACCATCAACTGATAGAATATGAGGTTCATACAGGTCACTTATAACTTACAAGGGACCAAATGGCAATTAACAAACATACCAATCACCTTACACTTCATTGTCATTATGCTCTCAAAGACAACCAAGACTGAGGGAAGGCAAAATCAGTAGGAAAATAACTTCACTACAAAATAATCCATTATGGTAAAGAGTTTATCAATGAATGAGCAGCACTGCGAAGGTGACTGTGAAGAAAGGATGTATGCACATCATGTATTATTTTGGATTTACCCCCTATGTAGGCACTTGTGTCTTGCGGGGTTATTGACTCAGAGGATGTCCCCACAGAGATGCCTTCAGCCACAGGGCGCCCACTGTTTTGGCTGAGGGCCAACTGCTCAGCCTCTGTGAGTGGTGGTGGTGGAGGACCCCCACCTGTTTTTCGGGCCTCCGCTTTTTTTCTGTTGGCTATAACGGGTCACATTTGAGCATACAGAGTAAGCAAATATGTACTTGTAATGTGCTCAGATAATTTCAATAAGTGCTTACAGAAAGAAATTAATGTAGCCTCTAACTGCAATTGATTTACATGGGACAAACAGACCAAGCACTATGGCTCATAATACAATTACACCTTACCTGTTTGGACTATATTTTTATATTTCATTTTTACTTGCTGCCAGGCACGTTTGGGGCCTGTTGGGTTGCACCTGCGCTCACATCACGTCACAAAATAAATGTATAAATAACAAATAAAATAACATATGATAAAATAACGTGTTAAATGGGTGGAAATCCCTAGATCAATGTTTAAATTAACACTCTCGCATTGACTCTGTCGGCTATGTTTTGCCATGCATGCTCCCTTTGTTTTGCAGCTGTGGCTGTGTTACTTTTTTCCGCGAAATTTGCATGTTATCGGCATATGCTGCCATCAGAATTTCGGCCTCAAGCGCTGTGAAATACATTGACCGCGCCTTCTTTCCCTCCGTCTCCATGGTGACTCGCTTAATCTGTGCTCCACTGATCAGGGCTTTATGTATCCTCGTCCGCGCGCTTCACTTGGGGTTAAAGCAACTCCGCGTTGACTGAACTAATTGTTATCAGCCTTTCTGAAACCGAATATTCCGAGTTGGACAGTTCGGGGTTACTCAACCCTGCGTATCGTTTTTCACTCTGAGTTTTCTAAACCGGCTTCCTGAAACAGGGCCCAGGTGTGTGGTAAGACAAACCCTGAGTTGAGAGAGTGTTGTGTGGACTCCTTTCCTCCCTGGACTCCCTGGAGCACTATACGCCTCCAATGAACTTTACAAATCATATATTTGAGTCCAACCTGCCTACCAACACAGATACACAAAGTCAAAATATGTAATGTAAAGCCTTAAGACTGCATTATAATAAACAACTAAATGTTCCAAAATGCAAAACAGAACTACGAATGTTGAACAACCTTAAAAGTTCAAACATTATTAATCGCACCAAATTCCAACAACAGTCCCCTCAAGGTGCTTTATATTGTGAGGTAGACCCTACAATAATCAGACCCAAGATCATGTGCAGCCGATATTTTACAGAATCTGTCCTCTGTGTTGGAAAGGCTGTCAACTGTGTGTGGGAGCCCCCTTGTGGCGAGAGGGCACAGGTGCACTATTGAACACATGTTCCAGGGATCAGAGTTTGAGCGGACTGACTCAGCGGGGGATGTCGACACACAGTGTGAGTCGTGCGCGTTGCTAAAGAACTGAGTGGACGTGGAGCCCTGCCTGGAAAGGACAGCTTTAGTCTTTTAGGCATTTAGTGGATGTAGAAGTGCAATGTGTATTAGCCTGTTCACCTGTGTGGCTAGTTCATGCTGCTAACGTTGTACACAATAATAATACTGCACACTTTGTATTGATCCCTGTGGGGAAATTCACTCAGTGAAGCAGTGGGCAGACACCAGTGCAGCGCCCGGGAGCACTGTGTGGGGATGGTACCTTGCTCAGGGGTACCTCAGGGTAGCCGTTCAGGGGATTCGAACCCCTGACCTTACGATCATGGGGCAACCGCTTTGGTTGATTGGCTGTTTTGTGTTGTTGGGTGTATTGGCAATTAATGTCATGGACTGTAAGGTTTTCTGAATAGTGCATGGAGATCTTCATATCGGAATTTCCATTTGTAGTTCTGGTTAGACTGGAAGAAAGCTCATGAATCTTAATTCATGACTTAAATGTTTGTTATATTCAGTATTTTGTATATGTTCTGCTCTTGTTAGCTAACAGCTAACAGCCCCCACCTACGAGTTCTTGTACATCCTCTGAAAGCCTGCGGTTGCATTACTGTGCTGCTGTGCTGCGCTGTTAAGCTACAGAATCACAGTAAAGACGGAATAACCTTATTTGTGCGTCCTGTGTGTTCTGACACCACAAGGTGAACACCACTGCTATTCAGCCAACGCCGATACAGTCCTGGGTTCAACCCAAATTACCTCAGAATCAGAACAGAAGCAGAAAAAATGGCTTCTAAGTACACAGCAGATTGTCTCTCTCACTCACTGTCTGACTGCTACAACTATCACAGCCGAACATAAAGACAGGTTCAGATATGCTTTTTTCCCTGCTGTCAAATAATTGTGTAGTTATCAGTGAATTCACTGTCACTGATGATTCCAGGGAATCCTCTCCTCCCCAAACTTTACAGTCTGAACGGGAAACTTGTGCAGACACTGATGTGGAGAAGCCAGCCGTAAAAGTCACTGTCTGGATGTACTTGTACTTGTAACTGCACCTCTTTAGTTTCTTTTAACACCAGCAGATGTTTTGCTGTTCATAAAGACCCTTAACAGGTTTCTGTCTGGCTCCACCCACTGATGCTGAACTCAGCCAATGAGATGGTCTCTTCCTGCAGAACTCCAGCCAGCCTGATGTTGAGGAGAAGGCTGTGCAGCAGAGAGGCTGCTTAGTCTTTTCATTCTGCTGAATTTGTTCATCTGCTGTGTGACTTCAGCACCTGAAACATGTTCCTTTACCTGTTTGTACTTTTCTCTCACTGCATAGGTGAGTGTTAGAACACAGAAAAGTCTCATGGTGACAAGATTTGATCAGGAAATAAAAACCAGAGGAGACACAGAGATTCAGGGAGGAGCTGAGCTGCGACTGAAGAGCAGACGAGACAGAGAAACCTCCACATTCAACACAGAAGATTCAGTCCAACATGTTGTTGTTGGGCTGTTATGAAACTTCTCTGTTAATCATCATGATTCTAACAGGTACATGTGAAAAAACTTCATCCTAATATTTTAATTATTATTCACGATTTCTTTGTAAAATATTTACAGATTTCTGTTTCTTTAGGTGTCAGCTGTCAACAACTCACTGCCAGCAAAGCTGAAGAGTCCAGTTTGGAAGGCAGCACAGCTACTCTGTCCTACAGATACTCCAGACAAGCAACTGGAGGTGATCAGTTCTACTGGTATCGACAATATCCTGGAAAACCACCAGAGTTCCTGACCTTTAACTTGGGAACACAAAACACAACAAATTCCAAACTTTCTGTCAGAATGGTCGATGACAGAAATGGTCTGAACCTTCAGATCTCCTCTGCTGCAGTGTCTGACTCTGCTGTGTACTACTGTGCTGTGAGGCCCACAGTGACAGGAAACAGCAAAACTCTGTACAAAAACCTTTGGAGCAAAGACAACAGAATACTCCACAACATCCACTAGAGGGAGCCACACACTGTTAAACCTCTGTAGACTCTGAGAGAATGAGGCACAGCTGTGACAGCGAACTTTAGCAGCTACAATAACGTCACAAGTCTCCTCCTGAGTCTTGTAATCACAGTGTTCAGCTCAGGTGAAGCCTGTCATGCAGCAGCAGAGCAGCAGAGCTGGAAGAAACACAGCCGTGGGAACATTCCTGTTTCAAACCAAACACTCATCTTTCTCCGTTTTGTTTGCTCACAGAATATTAAGAATATTTTAACAGATGATTTTAGCTCTTGCAGATGATTCATTCAGCAGATTACAACTAGAAAACAGATTTTTACGGGAGGCTTTGATTAACCTGAAATTGCTCTTTGAGTATAAATGTGTGTGAAAGGGTGAATGAGGCTGTTGTATGAAGCACTCTGAGCGCTCAAGTAGAAAAGTGCTTTATGAGAAGCAGGAAGCTGAAGCTGATAAATGGAGCAAGTCTTGTTTTTCTTCATTTTACTGAAGCTCTTTATAAACCTTTTCCTTCTTAAGGCTTTTTTCTTTTGTATGAAAAATAAATTCCTCGCTAATACACACGTCAATGCCAGACTTAATAATTAACCTACTTTAAAAACATGGACATTACATTACATGAGCTAAAAGGTGGTGTCAAAGACTTATCCACGTTCTATCTGAACATATTAATGCTCACAAAGATGAAAGTTTCCAAAGGCACGAGCATGTACATGAGCTTCCTCTTTTATTCCTGCTGAAACATTTGTTCACAACATTACCGGAGAAGATACGCCAAAGACAGGGTCATGGCCAAACGCTACTGTTGCTCAATGCATAACACAACAGAGATCATTTGTGACACACGTCTTCCTCTGATCAGATTTCAAAGCCAAAACATTTTAGAATAAATTTACTTACAATATTTATTAATTACACACTTATTTATTACCTTTATGTAACTAAATCATGTCCTGAACTAATTACTGTCTTTGAGCAACACAGCAAACACAGAGCAGAGAGGAGGAGCAGAGATTCAGGGAGGAGCTGAGCTGTTACTGAACTATAGAAGAGAGAAAAACCTCCACATTCAACAGAGTTCAACACAAAACAAACTTTATGTTCCTCAACATGCTGTCATTACATCACTGTGTGTTTCCTCTGATTCTTCTCACTCTCACAGGTCTGCTCACCTACACAGGAAACTATGTTCAATTCAATGATTACTGTAAATTTTGAATGAATATATGACATCACAAAAACAACAGGCACTGATAGCTGTATCGATTACTAACACTAATGATGCTCTGAGAAAAAGCCTTTAACTCCTCAGCTTGAAAAAAAGAAAACACTGACATCATTCATCATTACAGAGACATTTTATTTCTTTCTTCTTTTTTTTTTTAAATACAGAGTCTTTTACAACAACATGCTGGACATCTTTATTCTGCTTTTGTTACATATGAGGGTTGGAAAAAAATGTTCACAATATCAATTGTATCCAGTTGGCAATGAGATCATTTTAATATTCATTATGTTTTCCATTTGGAGTTTTCTTTCATCCTCATGATGGCAGTGAAGTGTGACACAGATGGAACAAAACTCACATGATCACAGTTGGAGTGCACTCTAATAAACCTTGAATAGTAATAACACTAACCATGAATCTCTTTTTTTCCTAGTTTGGAGTCGCTTTGGATGTCTTCTCTAGAAAAATTTCAAGACTATGGCGTCTCATCTGTGTGAGTTTTCATGTGTCGCAACAAAACACTATTACGTGTGAACATTTTCCCACAGATTTTACAAATATATGGTTTCTCACCTGTGTGAGTTCTTATGTGAACTAACAAATGACTACTACATGTGAACTTTTTCCCGCATGTGTTACAAAGATACGGCTTCTCACCTGTGTGTGTTCTCATGTGCTCCAGCAAATTACTGCTTCGTGAGAACATTTTCCCACATCTTTTACAATGAAAGGGTTTCTCACCTGTGTGCGTTCTTAAGTGCGCTGTCAAATGCGTACTACATGTGAACTTTTTCCCACAGGTTTCACAAGGATACGGCTTCTCACCTGTGTGGATTCTCATGTGGACCAGCAGATGACTGTTCTGACTGAAGGTTTTTCCACATGTCTGGCAGGAATGTAACTTCTCTTTCGTGTGGATTCTCATGTGGCGCACCAAATTGCTCCTATGAGAAAAACCTCTCTGACATATTTTACAAGAATGTGGCTTCTCACCAGTGTGGATTCTGTAATGCTCTTTTATTTGGGACCTTTTCTTAAAGCTTTTTCCACAAATATCACATTTTAAAGACTTTTTACCTGTTTCAGTTTTACATTGACTACCTGACATGGGACAGTCTTCAGCATTGTTACTGGCTCTTCTGTTCGTATTTCCAGTTGATCCTGGATCTACTTTCTTGCTTCCTTCCTGATCCTGGGTGTGAGTTTCAGGACAGCTGTGAGGGAGTGGCCTCTCTCTGTCTGGTTCACTGTGCTCTCCTTCCTCAGCAGCAGTCACCATAAAGGTATCCGTCTCCTCCTTCAGTCCCAGCTGCTCTCCATCCTGACTGCTGCACAGTTCCTCCTGTTCCTCTTTAATCTGTGGAAGTTCTGGTTCCTCCTGCTCCACACTCAGCTGGAGTGCCTGATTAGTGAGATCCTCCTCTTCCTTAAAAATGTGTTGCTGTTGGAGGTCTGCAAGGATGAAAGGAGAGAAGAAAAACGCATATTAAAATATCGATTGTAATAAGGCTCCACAGTGTGAGTCAGTAAAGAAATCCATAAAAAAATGTCCTCTTCTAGTCACTGCTGATGATCGCTGCTGTCAGCTGTTAAAAATATTGGAGAATGAGTGTTGATGTTGGAATCCTCACAGTCAGTTGTGAAGTGAGAAAGTCGCATCAAGATTATTAGAAGGAGAAAGGCCACAGCTGAGAATACACACCCTACTGCACAATTAAGAACAGAAAAGACTGCCTTTTATTGTCATAATACAGATGAACAGTGTGTATTAAAAAATAGCAATTATACAAATATTGGAAAAAATTATTGTTATATCTTTACAGTGCGGGCTATTGCACATAAATTAAATGTTGCACAGTGGTGATGTTAGTTGAGTGGTAGTCTGTGTATAGAAGTCCTTGAATTGGGGGGTGGAACTGTGTGGTCAGTGCTTGTGTGAGTTCAGGCTGGTTATGGCTCTTTGAAAGAAACAGTTTTTTAGTCAGTCGGTCTTTGTGCTGATGCACCTGTAGTGCTGCCCTGAGGGAAGCAGGCTGAAGAGGTCAAAGCCAGGGGGGGAGCTGTCCTTGATAATGTTTGCTGCTCTGCTGAGGAGGAATAAATGTCCATCAGGGAGGCGAGAGGGCAGTCAATGATCTTCTGTGCTGCCTTAACTACACTCTGAAGCCTCGCTCTGTCCGCCTTAGTACAGCTGCCGAACCATACTGTGATGCAGTATCTCAGCAGGCTCTCAATGGACGAGCGGTAGAAGGTCAGCAGCAGGTTGGAGTCCAGTTTGTACTTCCTGAGGACCCTCAGGAAGTGTAGTCGCTGTTGGGTCTTCTTGATGACCATTGTGATATTGTCTGTCCAGGAGATGTCAGTGGAGATGACGACTCGGAGAAACCAGAAGGTATGGACTCTCTCCACACAGTCTGCATTGATGTAAAGGGGGACTAAGTCAGTGCTGTGGCTCCTGAAGTCGACAATGACCTCTTTGGTTTTCTTGGTGTTCAGTGCCAGGTTGTTCTCTGAACACCATGCTGCCAACTTCAGGACTTCTTCTCTGTAGAAGAAGGGATGGCTACCTGATCTAGTGAGAGGCTGCAGATTCTTGTGAAGATGAGGGTGAGCTGGTGGGTGCATGCTCTTAGCACCTTGCCAGGTACTCTGTCTGGATCGGCAGCCTTCCTGGGGTTCACTGCTTGGAACACCTGTGTGACATCGTGCTCTGGTACAGTGAGTGGAGCGGTGCAGGAACCAGGTGAAGGTCAGGGTGAGGATGGGAACAGGGCTGAAGCAGCTGAGTGCTGCTGTTGTGGTGTTTCGGAGCAGGTGAAGAAGCAATTTATCTCCTCTGCCAGCGGTTCACTCAGGCTCACCAACAGAGGAACATCAGCAGAAGTACAGCAGTAAGAGAGGGAAGTTAAAATGCAAGATACAGCTGAAAAGCTGCTGGCAATAAATAATATATATGTTCAATGACTGAATAATCAACATGAAATGTGTGGATGTTAAATGGAAAGCTTGTGGTGATTGTTTTGCATTAGCGTCCTTCAGCATATACTCTAAAATAAAAGCACTGTTTCCGGTTACATTAACATTCAGGGCTAAAATTCTACAGACTGCTCTCTTGCCTGATCTCTACATTAGCAGGAAGAGTACGCTTGGAATCAGCATCACATATAAAGGAAATTTTTAAATGCTGCAGTAAAATGAGAAAAAGTAATAATTATAATTTTAGTAAGATCTAATACATATATTAAAAGATCAGAGGAGAAATTCTGTCCATTAGGGCTGGGCGATATGGCCTAAAATCCATATCACGGTATAATTTGAAGCATGCGTGGTAACGATACATATCGCGATATGTTATTTCTTCTGTATAACGTATTTTACACACTTAAAATCCTTTCATTTTCTCAAAAATCTACAGTGCGCCTTATGTATGAATTCTGGTTGTGCTTACTGACCTTGAACTGATTTTATGTGCTACACGGCGCTCAAAAATCTGTCAAAATGTAGCTTTGGTAAGCTACGAAGCCGCACCGCTTGATACCATTGATTTGTTGTGTGGTAGTAACAGGTAAATGAACTTTTTTTTTTTATTATTTGAATCTATATGAGTGCTTGTGTATAAATACACAAACAATACACACATGCTTTCCATTGTGTAATTTAAGTGATCTAGTAGCGCTGTTTTGGAAGTTCAGTTAACGCTAGAAATGTGCTTTGGACTTTGTGCATGCTTTGTCTCTGGGGGCCACCGCATATATTTATATATAAACATATATAAATAAAACCACTTTCTTTTACATTAGTAATTCCTTATTTATTATTGTTAATAATAAATTAATTAAAGCAACAAAACAACCTGAAGAACCGGTTCGGAGCTGAACGATCCGACTCTTTTTTGTCACGATTCTGGGTCTTATGACCCAGTGTTTTGAGTTTAGTTTATTTGGATGTTTATATGATTAAACTCATGAGTTTAATCATATAAACATCGTGACACTTTTTAATGATCCGAGCCGAAAGAGCCGGTTCTCTAAAAAGAGCCGCAAATCCCATCACTACTTTCGACCAAAACAGGCGCAGCTTGATGACATCATCAACATGCGGTAGAGCGGTATAGTCAAAATCTGTACCGTTGGCCAAATTTATAATGTTTCTACCGTTTACCGGTTATACCGCCCACCCCTACTGTCCATTACAAATCGTAACAGATCCCTCCGGAAGGACAGATCGAGTACCCTGGCACTGACCTTCCTGTGAAGACTGAAGAGATGCCAGCTCAGCAGGTGGTGGTGATCAGCTGACAGCTCAGTTTCAGTTTTCAGTTTTATTTGTCATATGCAAGTTAGCACAGGGTCAACATCGCAATGAAATGTATTTGACGAGCAGCAGACAGTCACTTAGCAGAATGGTACAGTAGAAGAAAAAATAAATAAAAAATAAAAATAAAACAAATAAAATAAAAATAGTAAAGAGCAAAATATTAATAAGATGTAGTAAAGGAAAAAAAGAGAGAAATTTCCAGTTAACTGACTGAATATATGTATGTATATATAAATATATGTACACACAAGTGATTAAATAAAGAAAATCTTAAATAGGAATGTGGGGGGGGGCAGATGGGACACTGCACAGGGATGAGCAGCAGTACAAACTTTACAAAGTTTTGTTTTTTTGTGGCACTTGTTACAGTATTGCACTTTTTAAAAATATAACTATCAATAAAGTGGAGTGACCAGTGCAGATTAAACAGAGAACTTGTGAAGCTGCAGCTTCTGAGTGCGTCCCGTGGACTGTGTGTGTTGAAGTGTTGTGGTTGAGGCGTCGTATGGCTTGATGGTAGAAACTGTTTAAGTCTTGTAGTCCGAGCAGACAGACTCCTGTAACGTCTGCCAGATGCTCTCTACACCCAGCTGACAACAACGCACCGTTACAAAATCAGCTGAGAGCTTTAACCACAAATCAAGCTGCATTAGCCGGACTGTCTGTGTGCTAGCTGACTCACCAAAACTTTAAACTCCAATCAGAGATAACGGGTATCACAGGGCTAGTTATCAACTCTCACCGGCTGAGAGACAGACTGTCTGCCCACTGAGGTTTCCTGAGCCTCGGTGTGGGGTCCCTGTGCTCACCCTGACAGCAGCTGCAGGACAAACTCCTCGTTTAAAACGGCGTTAATGAGAATCACGGCAGCATCAGAGTGACTCACCTGCTGTGTGCAGCTTGATTTGGGGTTTCCAGGTGATATCCAGCAGTCTGCGCTGACGGTCGATCTCTTCCTCGTACTGGACGATCGTTTTTTCAAACTCCAAGAATATTTGTTCAGCAGCAGCAGTTAGTCGCTCGTTGATGAACTCTCTCAGATACTGAACTGAAGGCATCGTTGCTGCCGCGGCTCACACACTCAGCTCACACACGCCGCTGATTCAACACAGGAGGAAAGCTACTTCCGCCTTTCCTTTGTTTACTTCCGCCTGGTGGCACACGGTCAAGCTCCGGCAGACAAGGGCTTCCGTTCCACTTCGTTTACGTAACAGCTCAGTTTCTAGTAGGAGGGAATATTAGTTACACATTCCTGAAAAATAAAAGGTTTCGGTAACATCATAAGTGGATTTTTCCCACCTTGATGCTCTGATTCCCAGTTTGAATCCAGTGGCTCCAGAGACTGTTTGGTATCACAGGCTGTGGATCTCTGTGGTGAACAGGGTTTGGAATATAAACAAGAATAAGATGCTCTCTGCTGAGTAAGCTGTACCTGTGCAGGCCGCCTCCTCTTACATCCCACCATCAAACACCACATCTCACACTTTATGGAGCACGTGGCAAAAGGACTAACACCTCAGCTCACCTCCATTCACCTGATTCAGGTATGTTGACCCAGGGTGAGATCTAAAACCTGCAGGGAAACCGGCCCTCGTGGACTAGGGTTGGGGACCCCTGCCTTACAATAATAAGCTTCTTGAAGCTTAATATTGCTCTGATTTGGCACTATATGAATAAAATTGAACTGAGTTCATTTAATTGATGATTTTAAATTGGTTTAGCTGAAGAGAAAGGACCCAGAAAACTGTTTGACGTACTTTTCATTGGTATATATTTTTTAAAAAGATACATAAAACACAACTGTTAATATGAGTATAACATCTATGTATGTTTTAATGGAACCTGTACCTGGAAACCAACTGTGTGGTGTTCATGTGCCTGAATATGGGACTAATTTATTTGTGCATGTATGTTTTTAATTTTCAGTGGAATATCTAATAAAGTAAGGAAAAGGCAAACATGTTAATCCATTCAGGCATCACGCTGCATGTATAGAGTAGAGAGGTTCCTTCACTGGTCCTGCTGCTCATTCTGTACAGGCAGCTGAAGGAGTTTAGGTCAGGAAACCAATTTGTTGACACAGACAAGCATGGAGACAGAACACAGACACGGTCTGCTTTTCATTTGGATGATGATAGTCTCCTTTCAGACTGGTGAGTCATCAAAAGATGGAGTGAGATGTAAAAGGAGATGATGGACATGAAAATATCTGGATGTTGTTTGAATTGATTCACTTTTTATAAACTAAGTTTAAAGATGCAGAAACATGATGGTGAAATATGTCTTTGTTGTTTTCAGGATCCTCTGAGGATTTACTGACACCATCTAAAGATGTAGTGACGAGTTTGGAAGGAGACACTGTGACTCTCTCCTGCAACTATTCAGGCTCTGTCCTCAACCTCTACTGGTATCATCAGAAGTCTGGTTCACATCCACAGCTTCTCATAGATGAACATTCAGAGAAAATAGAAAAGCTGAAGTTTAGAAAAGATCAAGACAAAAGCGATTTTTATCTGGAGATCTCCTCTGCTGCAGTGTCTGACTCTGCTGTGTACTACTGTGCTCTGCAGCCCACAGTGACAGGAAACAGCAAAACTCTGTAAAAACCTTTGTAGAGACAGAGCTGCTGTGGAAACACAAAACTATTTGATTGGCTCAGCTATTAAACTGGCCCCGCCCACTGAAGTTGAGCTCATCCAATGACATTATTTGTTGGTCATTGTGCTGCAGTGGAAGAACATTGTTCATGTGCTGTCTGTCTGGCTTTAATAACTCCAAAGACATGTTGCTGCACCTCTTTTTGCTTCTATCTCACATTATAGGTGAGTTTAAGAACAGGGATTAAAGTTTAGTTGAAGCTGCTGCATTAAGCAGATATACAGACTGCATTTCACTACTTTTCTTCTTTCTTTTTCCAGGACTAACAGCTGGAGACTCAATCACTCCTCAACAACCTGAAGTCACTAAAACAGAAGGAGAATCTGTCACACTCACATGTAGCTATGAGACAGATGCAAGTTACCCACGCCTTCACTGGTACAGACATGATTCTGACCTTCAGGCTCCTCAGTTTATACTCTGGAAAGGAGCAAGATCATGGAGTGGCAATGAATATATTCCTGATAAACGATATGAATCAAAAACATCACGTACAACAACTGATCTGACCATAGCAGCCCTAACCCTGGCAGACACAGCTCTCTACTACTGTGCTCTACAAACACAGTGATACAAAGTGTAGAAGAGGCTGTACAAAAACCTGAACACAGATATCTGACTACTCTTCAAAGAGGAGGGAAGTGGTATTCAAAGCACAGCTTCATATCAGATGGATTCTGCTAATTCCTGTTTTATCAGAGTCACTGTGGTTACAGCTGCTAATGAAACACTGTGGGAGGATTCACATGAGCAGCAAATCCACATCAACCACAAACCAACACTTTATATCAGCATCAACAGTCAGGAGGAAACATCGTTGCTGTCTGTGGTCCTGAAATGTATCTGAAATGTAAATGTTGTGAAACGAAGGGGTTTCTGTGTCTCTGAGCCCAGGACACTCTGACAAAAGACATTCTTCATCTCTAGAATTTCACTTCCTGATTTAAGTTAACAGTTCAGTATTAATTCTGACACACTGTGGCTTCTGATTCTGTGAAGTGTCTTCATCTTCAGCTCTGCATCTTTACTGCGGCTTTGATTTATAAATCATGAAACAGACAAAAAAACTTTAGAAAGAGCTTTTTATAAGAGCATGGTGAAAATCTACAACTTCCTAGTTTCACTTCTAAATCCTGAACAATCAAAATTAGTTGAACACAAAACAGAAGAACAAAAAGTGATACATGCTTTCCACAAATAAAAGACTCGTGTGGTCAGTGAGCACTACAGGATTTCTCAGCTTCAGTATCTCAGGTCACAATCCAAATATCTGAGGTAGAGTAAAAACAAGGGAAAGAAATCATACGTAGATCAGAATATGACAGAATACAATGGAAACATTTCATACATCCAATTTTCCAACCAAGTTCAAATACACACACAAACTTAACTGATGGCGGTAAAAGGAAAACAAAGCCAGTCTAACTCTGCAGGGAAAGAAGCTGCTTTAAAAACTAAGAGTTGCCGAGCAACGCCTCCACTTGTACCTTTTTATATTTACATTGTTGTGACAGAAAACTGCAGCAAACTCACAGAACTTAGCAACTACAGGAAACACTTCGGTTCATATTACACACATTTTTCTTCCAGAGTGTGTGAGTGCTGGAAAACACAGATTTTATAATAAAACAGAACAAATGTACTTCTTTCTATGGCCGGCTTTAACAAGATTTTATATCATGAAACACCAACTGTAATTCAGTGGCAGTCCGCACATCCAATGGTACACTGCACAAACAAACTTAACACAATTCAAACAAAAAAATGACCTTGTGTGAGAGTCATCATGTTTCACTGGAGAATTAAAAACCCTCATCATGAGAGCGCCACAGCGTGACACAGAAGCGACACCGAGTCGTCTAAAGTTGCGTCTCTGCTGCACGTGAGAGAAAATAAAAGTAATAACACATAAAATTGTCACATTGTGTTGATCAGTAGCTTGTAGGGCAGTGAAATGATCAGATTTCAGCCTTGAATTTGATTTCGGCTTCCTTCTATGAAATGATGATCATGGAACAAAACTGAAACTGTGTGCTCGACAAACAGAACACAAAAGCACATCAAGCACTTCCTGAATCACAGCTGTTCTCTGAAGGTTTCCTGAACTCGTCTGCACGAGTAACACTGTGTTAAGACACATATAACAAAACTGAGCTGTGCTGTACAGCAGAGGGGGAGGAGCTTGTCGTTCAGCATCATACTCTGTTGTTTTGAAATACTTTGAATTTAATGGAAGAGACGTAATGAAGACGAAATCACGTGTGAAGAGTGCTTTAACCTCCTAAGACCCGAACTCTTCCACGGCAGCATTTTTAATTTCTCTTTGATATTTGGTCACATTGGGGCCCGATGAATGTAAAAACAAAGAATTGCCAGATTTTTTTTTTAAAACCTATTTTTGTTTTTAAGAAAAATGAGAGCCACATATGAGGATATTCGTTTAAAATTCTGATAGAACAGTAGCAGTATAACGTCCTTGTAAGTGGATATCAGGCCCTTGTAGAGCAAAACTGAGTGTTTTGGTCTAAATAACCCAAAATGTGACGTCCACATGTGGACGGCAGGTCCCAGGAGGTTAATCGCCTGAAAACAATCCACGAACTGCAGCACGACTGACGCACAAAGGCTAAAAAAATAAAGAAATGGTTACTGACGTGAATTATCCGACATTGACTCGTCATGTCCACATTAAAGGTTTCAGCACACGGACTCGCTCACTCAGTTCTTTTCCTGAAGAGGAGATACCTGCACTGCATGCAAAAGCACGCAGGGAAACGCAGAGGGAGGTCAGAGCTGTCGATCTACATCCATCATGCAGGTACAGTGAATGCAGGGAAAGACTTTACATTTAGTGTTAAGTGGATGCGCTTACATCAGGCTTGCACCATATCGGTCTGGAAAAGTGTTTTAATTAATTCGTTAATATATATATATTTTTTGGAATGTGGGTGAGTAATATTAGGAATGTTGCATTATGGATGTAAAAGCAGTGTTATGTTTACATGCAGTAAATGCCTTTTGTCACTAAAATACATGAATAATCACAACAATTAATCATGATCACAATATTGATCAAAAATCTCCTCAACAAACAGTTTTGATCCTTTCGTTAGTCATATGTTCAAACTCACAGCACCGCGGCTGTTCACACTGCAAAAACAATACAGCTGCATCTTAGTCACCTACACTAGCCAAATGCTTTTTAATGGCCAACAGTCATTTCATATTTATTTTATAGTTTGTTTGAGATCTGCTGCTGAGAATGATTCAATTTTAGATTTACATGTTTGTTCGATCACGGCTGCAGAAATGAGGATGAACTCTGCTGCAGACGCACAGGATAATACACCCAATCTTTGTTTTCATCATGAAGAGGAGTGAGTGTGTGTTAAAGTGGGAAACACATTAGTCGAAATCTTACACTTTTTCTTCACCTACTGTTTCTGCTTTTACACACACACACACACACATATATATAAAAAACATAAATAACTGTAAAGTTAAAAATCAGACAAATGTTAGTTCCTAATACTGTTTTACCTTCATATGTTTACAGAATGAGATCATTCGTCATCTGAACTAAAGACATGTTAAGTGCCAGTATGGATATGGGACTCTACTTCCCGCCTCCTATTTTCCCATTTCTGAAACAGGCGTGAGCATCTACAGTGTTCATACTAAGTGCTATCGTCTACAGGCTGCTGTTGAATAGAAGAATATCAGAAGACTACAAGTAAGCTATTAGGTTAGCGCTGGTTCACATCACTACATCTTAATATACATAAATCTGCATCATCACCGGTGAGAGCCGAGAACACGCAGAAAAACTGACGTTTAAATTGTGATGTTTTTTTGTTTGCCAGATTTCATTATTTCATCACATTTATGGAACATATATGAGCTTTTGAGATCAGTCATGACCTTAATTTCAGACTTTTAAAGACCTTTTATTGAGCAGCAGGAAGTGTGTAAAGCCAGCTCTGATTGTGAAAGCTTTACTGTTAACGGGTTCGATACTTTTGTCAAGCTCGGCTTCATAAATACACTGTTCCCTGCTAAATATTCAGAACTAAAACTTTTTCCCTGCGTGAGTTTTCATGTGGACTACCAAACCACCTCTTTGGGTAAAACTTTTCCCACATACTTTGCAAGTGTATGGCTTCTCACCGGTGTGAATTCTCACGTGCACCAATAAAGTACATTTTTTAGTGAAACTTTTCCCACATGTTTTGCAAGAATACGGCTTCTCTCCTGAGTGGATCCTCATGTGGACCAACAAACTGCCCCTTTGAGTGAACGTTTTCCCGCACGTTGTGCAAAAAAATGGATTTTCACCTGTGTGCACCGCCTTGTGCTTTTTAAGTGCTAATAAGTAACAAAATCTTTCACCACAGGTGTTACAGGTATACGGTTTCTCACCCGAGTGGGTCCTCATGTGAACCAACAGACTACCGCCTTGAGTAAAACTTTTCCCACACGTTTCACAAAGATAGGGCTTCTCGCCTGTGTGGATTCTGTGATGTTCGTGTATTTTGTATTTATTCTTAAACAATTTTCCACAAACATTGCATGTTACCGACTTTTTACCTATGTGAGTGTTACACTGACCCTCTGACGTGGGAGAGTCTTCTGCATCGGTACTGTGACTTCTGTTTGCACTATGTGCTGATCCTAAATCTACATAGTTGCTTCCTCCCTGATCTTGACCCTCAGCTATCAGGAAGCTGTGAGAGAGGAGCTGCTCCCTGTCTGGTCCTGGTTCACCGTGGGCTCTTTCCTCATAAGCAGCAGTCACCATAAAGGTATCAATGTCCTCCTTCAGTGCAAGCTGCTGTCCCTCCTGACTGCTGTAGAAATCCTCCTGTTCATGTTTGATCTGGAGAGGCTCCGGTTCCCCGCGGTTCTCCTCATTACAGAGCTGCTGGTTAATGAGAAATTCCTCCTCCTTATAGACATGCTGCTGCTGGAGGCCTAGAACGAAGCCAACATAAAGAAAACTGATGTGATGACAGAAAAACTCCTCTGAGCAATCATTAAAATAAACACACACAATGTTTCCGCTTCTTCTAAAAGTCTGGTCGGATGTGTAAAAAAAAGCTAAAAATCATGTCTGGAAAAAGGTTTATTTGTTTTTTGTGGGGATAAACTGTTTATTTTACAGCATTACCTCAATAATGGAGTGGATTTATATAGCGCTTTTCAAGGCACCCAAAGCGCTTTACAATGCCACTATTCATTCACTCTCACATTCATACACTGGTGGAGGCAGCTACAGGTGTAGCCACAGCTGCCCTGGGGCAGACTGACAGAGGCGAGGCTGCCGTATCGCACCATCGGGCCCTCTGGCCAACACCAGTAGGCGGTAGGGTAAAGTGTCTTGCCCAAGGACACAACGACCAGGACAGAGACCCCAGGGATCGAACCGGCGACCTTCCGGTTACAGATGCGATTCCCAACCCCCTGAGCCACAGTTGCCCCAATAAACCCACACACAGGGTTAAAAAGGTAGTAAAGAGCTCCATAAAATTACATTTATAATATATTAAAACTCAAAGAAACCTACAGAACCAAACTCACTAATATAACTACATGCCCAGGCACATAAGGAAAAGGCCTTTTATATTCTTATTTCTTGGTGTCAGTGAAAATCCAGGCAGGGCGTTCTGAATCAGCTGAGAAGACAGTTAAAAAAGTTTTTAAAAAATGAAAGTTTGGACGACCTTGTGAGAGTCATCAGCTGTTCTTGTTTTTTTGTTTTGCTTCTGTGTGTTTTTGGCTTTGAAGCAGAGCTTAAATATAACAACTGACATTAAATATAAAGCGCTTTGAGGCAATTGTTGCTGTGCTTTGGTGCTATATAAATAAAACCAAAGTGAAGTGAAGTGCTATTGCAGATCAATATTATATTTCCATCATCTGTTCATGTGTTTTATTTGATCATTTCTCGTTCACTCTGAGAGTTACTGAGAGCACCAGGGGGATAAGTGGATGCTACCGACAGTAACGTCAGGCTCAAAAAGCAGCACCACTGCTCTCATTCTCTCCTCTCAGTGTGCACACAGACACGCATGGTAGTGGGTAACCATGGTAACCGTTCAGGTTATTATTTCCATGCAAAAGAAAGAACACAAGTACCGCTGTTGTCTAACCGAGTAACTAGGGCTGCTCAATTATGGCAAAAATGATAATCACGATTATTTTCACTGAAATTGAGATCACGATTATTTGACGATATTTATTTAACCCTTTAAGACCTACTATAGAACCAAGTCCACCAGAGCTTATATTATTTTTTTTTACATGTTGTAGTGCCATTTGTGGGAGTATTTCAAGTTGCTATACATCAATACAACTGTTATAGCCCATATTTTAATAATATGTATGCATTAAGTGCATAGTAATTACATAAATTGCAAAAAAGTGCAATAAACTACAAAAAAATTGAAAATCGCTTTTGTTTTGTTTACATATATTTCTACTTGGAGAAATTTAAGAGGCTTATCCCTCAAAACTTTAAATACAATAAAGTTGCAAAAAATAGTTTACAACAACAGGAAATTTATTTTGAGTGTCTTCATAGTTTTATTTTGGAGATACAGCAATTTTTATATACTGCAGGAAAAACAAAAAACAATCCTATGATGCAAATTTGCAAAGAAAACAGCATGTGCATCATTTCACTGTGGGAAGTGTTACGAACAGCTGATCGGATCGGCAAAGCGTGTTTCTGGAATATTATGTTTTTGTTCCTGCAAGCGCTTTGTATGCAATTTTTGCAAAGCTATATGTGGAAGGAAACCGTGACCGAGGACAAGCTGATGGCATCAGATGTAAGTACAACTCCTCCGGTTTCATATGCAAAACAAATTATTGCGCTAGCTTACACGGTTCAGGTTCTACAGGGATTTAAAAATAGTTACACAAAACGGAGCGTGCTGCTCTGACCGGCTTTAAAGGGTTAACAATGACTTTAAAAAATAATATAAAATAGTGTGCAACACCACTGAAGTTTTTTTTTTTTTAACCTCTCTTTTCAACCAACAGCAGTCACTCTCCTCTCCAAATAACTTCTGCTTAGCTTTCCGAGCTTCCCTCGGGTCCTCTTAATCAGCGGTCTCCAACCTTTTTTGCGCCACGGACGGTTTATGCCCGACAATATTTTCACGGACCGGCCTTTAAGGTGTCGCGGATAAATGAGGGAGGGGCTAATAATCGGCTCCGTCATTTTTAATGATCGTTGAAAGCCCAGATCGTAATCGTGATTAAAATTCGATTAATTGAGCAGCCCTACGAGTAACTAATATACTGTGCATGTTACTTTACAAAGTCAGTGTGCACTCTGTGACAATAATGTGACTTCAGAAGAAGAAAATAAGCCCTTCATTTGAAAAAATGTGATTGACTCAAAATAAAATACATAAGATGTGTGTGAAACAGAAGAGGAAGTGATGCAGCTGTGAAGACACGTTTCACTGGATGGAAAAGAACCCGGTAATAAAAAGCAACAGATGTGTTGGATGCACATCTGTAGCTGCATGAAATATTGGCCTGTAGTCGGCAGCGGACCTGACGACAGTTCAGTTCTTATGGTAGGAAATACTGTCTAAATATTTCCCTTTATGCAATGTTTTTAAATAATTAGCTGACTCAATGAAAAAATAATCTGATGCTAAGTAACCAATCATCACGTTACACTATTTTTACAACCGTGGGCCTGTTCTTCGTACCTCGCTAAGTTAGCTGGATTAGATTGTTGACGATTTCGCGTGATCCTGGATCGTTCGGTTCCCCGAAGCTCATCCGGGACTTGCTGTCATAGCAACAGAGCCGTAAGCGTAAACCTGCTGGGGAGCAGGTTTACTTTATGTAAACAGGATTAGATCACGGCCACGCAGGTATGTCCGCTTCATTTATACAAAAGCAACAGCGATATTCCACCACTGTTTCACCATAAATAAATAACATCAATGTAACTAAAGATAATGCAGCACTTGATCCTTTTATTGATGTCACACAGATACATACAGGTCATTTCCTAAAAAAGGGAAATGTACTATTAACATTCTATTTCATGTATGTGATTATTACAGATGTAATTCATATTTCAGAGTAGTAATAGTAAATTACTTCGTGTAATCAAGATGAGAGACCACGGCTATAAAAGCGAAGGTGGATTTGGGAAGTCTGTCGCAGTCACGTCCTGTCCGTATACGCGAGCAACCCATTGCAGAAGGTGCAAGATTGATAAGGAGAGTCCTCAGAATTCAGCGTATATTGCGGGACAGACAGGATCCTTTAGCTCAGCGCGACAGTGTGCTCATAGAGAGATATCGATTTTCCCGTGAGGGTATTATTCACTTAACCAACTTGTTGACGAGGGGGTGCAGGACCACCACCTGTCTTTTGTTGCTCTGCCCTTTTCTTGGTTGCTGTTATGAACAAACAGATTATTTCAGGGTTTCTTTGCAAGAGACTAAAAGCAATATAAGTGATAAATATTACCATTCTGTAGAATATTCTTATATTTCACTTTTACCTGTTCCCATGTTCTAGTGGGTCCTGTTGTGGCTCTAATGTGAAAGAGGATATAATGTAATATAATGTAATATAATATAATATAATATAATATAATAATACATATTATAATATAATGTAATATAATATAATATAATAATACATATTATAATATAATGTAATATAATATAATATAATAATACATATTATAATATAATGTAATATAATATAATATAATATAACATATTATAATATAATGTAATATAATATTGGATAATATAGTGTAATATAATAAATCTACCCTACCGCCTACTGGTGTTGGCCAGAGGGGCCGATGGCGCGATATGGCAGCCTGGCTTCTGTCAGTCTGCCCCAGGGCAGCTGTGGCTACAACCGTAGCTGCCTCCACCAGTGTATGAATGTGGGAGTGAATGAATAGTGGTATTGTAAAGCGCTTTGGGTGCCTTGAAAAGCGCTATATAAATCCAATCCATTATTATTGTTATTATTAAATTACTTACGAGTTTAATTTGTCAGCAACTTTCTGCCAGCCCTCTCTCCTTGCTTTTGCAGCCTTTGCAGTGTTCTCTTGCGTTTTAATTAAACTCTGAAACTCCTGAAATCCCTCACTCAAGAGTTCTTGCTCTGCTGCCGAAAAATACCGAGCGCGCTCCTTCGACATTTTCGCCGACCAATCAGAGGGTTGCCGATCAATGTTTCTACTCTCGATGCGTAGCCCCTTTTACGACACCCAGTGATCTCACATTACTTCATCCAGCTGTACTAATCGTCAACAACAGGTGTGTTCGGAGAACCGGAATAGCGAGCTCAGAGTTAGCGCGATGATTTGATCTTGGATGTAGTGAGCGACGTACGAAGAACGGACCCCAGGACAATAAGAGAGAGCAGAGGTGATGACGAGTGCGGGAGTGAAGAAGAGCTGAACATCCCAAAGCAATAATATGATAAACATATAAAACATAGCAAATAACTTTAAAATGAGTGAGACTCGTTCATGTGTGAGTTCATCCATCAGAGTGAGACTCGCCTGCTGTGTGCAGCTTTATCTCGGGTTTCCAGGTGATATCCAGCAGTCTGCGCTGACGGTCGATCACTTCCTCGTACTGGACGATCGTTTTTTCAAACTCTGAGAAGATTTCTTCCGCAGCAGCAGTTAGTCGCTCGTTGATAAACTCTCTCAGATACTGAACTGAAGACATGGTTGCTCAAACGGCTCAAAGATTCAGCTGAGAGACGACAACAATACGACCGTCTTCCTTCTCTGTCACACAGGAGAAAAGCTAACGGAACTTCCGCTCTTTCCTGTTTACTTCCGCCTGGTGTTACACAGTAAAGTTCCGACAGAGAAGGACAGGTTTCGTTCCCAAATCAGGTTATAGTACGAAGTTCTATATTTATTTGTTTTTACCGCATTTCACAAAAACAAAACATTATTTTAACCATAATAAGTTAAATTTCAACTTAGAAAATTCTCTGTTTAAACTGAAAACTGATTGTTAGTTTGAGTTCTTCTCATTTTTATAAGCGAAATAGATTATTGGTTGGTCGACTCACGTTGTGTTCAGCTGCTCCATAAGAATAACAGATTTTCCTTTTATTGTTTTGTTTTAATTTTCCCCCCGTAAATTTATTTAACTGTGTGCTGGCTTGGTGAAGCACTTTAGTTCAAGTGCTTAAATTAAAGTAAGCGACTGGACTTCTATAAATTTCTTGAAGACGTTTCACTTCCTGTTATTAGGAGGATTTTAGACACCTAAACATATTATTATTGTTGTTGTTGTTAATAATAATAATAATAATAATAATAATAATAACAACAACAATAATAATAATAAATTCTATTTCAAAGCGCCTTTATAGACACCCAATGACACTTAATGATAGAATAAAACACACAATAGAACATTGGCAGTGAAGAAAAATAAGAAAACAAAAGCACAAGATAAAATAAACAGGTTCACAGTGACTATGCAGATTTGAATAGGTGGGCAGTAGGAGGAGGGATTTAAACCGGGGAGAGAATCAAGGTTTCTTATATCTGGGGGTAGAGAGTTCCACAGCCTGGGAGCAGAGCAGCTGAAAGCGATGCCTGCCATGGTGCTGAGGTGGAAAGAAGGCACAGCAAGCTGGATAGAAGAAGATGATCGAAGAGATAGTGCTTAACAGGTCAGCAAGGTAGGCAGGAGTGAGGTTGTGAAGGACCTTGTAGGTGAATAGAAGAAGTTTGTTCAAGGTTCAAGGTTCTTTATTTGTCACATGCATAGTTATACAAGTATAACACACAGTGAAATGTAGCCTGACACGCTCCTCGACATGTGCAAAAATGGGGGGGGGGGGGGGGGGGGGTGTAGAGGAAGAACATTATATATATATATATATAATATATATATATAAAAAACACCCAGCACGCCCCTGCGGGTGGTTTATCCTTCAAGCTCGGGTCCTCTACCAGAGGCCTGGGAGCTTGAGGGTCCTGCGCAGTATCTTAGCTGTTCCCAGGACCGCGCTCTTCTGGACAGAGATCTCCGATGTTATTCCCGGGATCTGCTGGAGCCACTCGCCTAGCTTGGGAGTCACCGCACCTAGTGCTCCGATTACCACGGGGCCCACCGTTACCTTCACCCTCCACATCCTCTCCAGCTCTTCTCTGAGCCCTTGGTATTTCTCCAGCTTCTCGTGTTCCTTCTTCCTGATATTGCTGTCATTCGGAACCGCTACATCGATCACTACGGCCGTCTGCTTCTGTTTGTCTACCACCACTATGTCCGGTTGGTTAGCCACCACCATTTTGTCCGTCTGTATCTGGAAGTCCCACAGGATCTTAGCTCGGTCATTCTCCACCACCCTTGGGGGCATCTCCCATTTTGACCTCGGGACTTCCAGGTTATATATATATATATATATATATATATATATATATATATATATAGTATATACATTGGGTGAATGTGCAGTAGTAGCAGCAAGCAGGTGAATTCTGTACATTAATATGAATAGACATCTGACTATTTTACAGGACAGACAATATAAACATATTTAAAATTAAAGGAATTGAAATGTACATTGTGCCTTGGTTTAGTGTCTGGAAGAGTCCTGTCTCAGTCAATTATAGATGATGTGAGAGGGCGGGTGTGTGTGTTTAGGGCACGGATGGCTTGGGGATAGAAGCTCCTCTTGTACACTATCTGGAATTTCACAGGGAGCCAGTGAAGCTCCTGGAGAACAGGGGTGATGTTCTGGTCGGAGGGGGTTCTTGTAATAATGCAGCTGAGTTTTGAACCAGTTGAAGTTGGAGATATTTTTGGGGGAGACCATGCAAGAGAGGATTACACTAGTCAATACGTGAGTTAACGAGACTGTGGACATGAATGGACATAAAACAGTAATTATTCATAGATCCTTGTATGTTGACGATATTCACCATTTAGAAGCATTAAATATGTATATATCTATTTTAACATCCAATTTCTTAAACTCCAGCAGCTAAAACTGAATCCCCCCTTTCCAAACTAAAATTATGGCAGAATTAAAAGTTAGAAAATTATAATCTTTTATGTTGTTTTTTTCCTCTGCATCCATGCTTGTTCTCTCTGGGTAATAAAAAAACAAACTCTGCAGGAGGGGGAGATACAGGAGAGGTGGAGGAAGATCTCAGCCTGGGCGTCTATTGTCTTGTGTAGTCTGGAAGGTGAGTGGATGACGGGGTGGGTGCAGTTTTCTCTGTGGTGGGGTCGGGTGGACTGTCCCGGGCTCTGTGGGGCCGGGTGGCGCTGTTGTTCTGGGCCCCGGTCCGGATGGACCTGAGCCCCCTTTCCCTGGCGGGTTGCAGAGTATGGGGGTGCCTACTGGGGTCAGCGGGGGAGCTGTATAGCGAAAAGCGCTATATAAATGCAATCCATTATTATTATTATTACCCGACTGCAATCTGGAAATATTAAATATTTGGTAAAAATGGTAAATGGCCTGTATTTATATAGCGCTTTACTAGTCCCTAAGGACCCTAAAGCGCTTTACATATCCAGTCATCCACCCATTCACACACACATTCACACACTGGTGATGGCAGCTACATTGTAGCCACAGCCACCCTGGGGCGCACTGATAGAGGCGAGGCTGCCGGACACTGGCGCCACCGGGCCCTCTGACCACCACCAGTAGGCAACGGGTGAAGTGTCTTGCCCAAGGACACAACGACCGAGACTGTCCGAGCCGGGGCTCGAACCGGCAACCTTCCGATTACAAGGCGAACTCCCAACTCTTGAGCCACAATTGCCCATTTAGGTATGGATATCTCTCCTAAGCTTGCAGAATTAACTAAATTAAACTACATCCCGCTTTTAAAGGAAGTAGAAGGCGATCTGGCTAGATGGAAATCTCTGCCCATATCACTCATGGGAAGGGTCGCTGCTATAAAAATGATGGTCTTACCAAAAAGAAATTATTTATTTTCAATGATCCCAAATAAGCCATCACAAGATTGGTTCAGATCTCTAGACTCGTATATTTCTAAATTCCTTTGAAAAGATAAACCCCCACGTATCAGCTTAAAAACACTACAAAAGACCAAGGATAAAGGAGGATTAGATCTGCCCAACAGGCTTCAGTTCATCTCCAGATGGTTAAAACACACCCTCTTAGATGAACCTTGGATAGATGTAGAACAGGCACTATGTAATAATCTAGAAATTTCAGACCTATCATTATCAGCTCAAACATCAAACGACATGAATGCTTTAAAAGCATCAATATCAGCTCTTCTCTGACAGCATGGTGGGAGTTTCTAAAAATAACAGAGTCTTCATTAATCCCATGCAAACGTACACCTCTGGAACCATCTGGGCATATTACAAAACAATAATATGATAAACTTTCCAGATTGGAGTTATAAAGGAATTAAATACCTGGAACATATATTGGAAGGAACAGACTTTATTTCGTTTGACAGACTAGTTACACAATATGGGATCAACAAGAAACGATTTTTGGAATATCAACAAATTAAATCCATAGTAAAAAAGAAATTTAATCCCAGTGAAGCTGAATTACAAACACCACCAAGTGTGATACAATTTTTTAATCTTAAAACTCCCAAACTATTGTCTAAAATATACAGAACACTTTCTAAAATAGATGAATCAATATCCCTTCCTATTGCAAAATGGGAAGCGGATTTATCGATCAACTTAGACCCAAACCTTTGGTCTCAGATATGCTTAAAAACCTTTCAATGGATCAGAAATCTCAGTTTGCAATTAATGCAATATAAAATATTAAATAGAGTGCACTATACAGGTCATAGGATGTTCAAAATGGGCTTTACGTCTACCAACAACTGCTCACACTGTCAAGCAAATACACCGGACAATTATATCCACGCTCTTTGGTTCTGTCCACCAGTTCAGAAGTTTTGGCGCGAGATATGTGAAGACTTATCAAAGTGTCTGAAATGTAACATTCCAGCCTCCCCTTTAGTGTGTTTGTTGGGCAACTTGGATGAGGTCACTGCAGAAATAAACACAGCCCACGTTGTTTTTACGACCCTATGCATTGCTAAGAAAACGGTCCTCATTAACTGGAAAAATAAAAATAATCTTAGTTCTAACCAATATAAAAACCATCTAATAGATCACATTAGTCTTGATACAGCCTCTGCCATCACATTTGATCAACAGCGAACTATAGCAGTCCCTTAATTAACCTCTGCCTGTCCTCGCAAACCACCAACAAAGTCTCGTGGCACCAGGTTCTGTCCTCTATCACTCCTTTTAAGATATCCGAACTCCTCCTTGCGCATTATTCCTCAAGGTGTCCCTTCAGTTCTCATGTGCTTTCACTAGCAACATCTAAACCCTCCCTCCTTGACATAGCCATTCGAGACCACTCTCCAAGCCGACTCGCGGTTCTGACGACATTCAAAATGGAATTATCATCTTCTGTGAGGTTCGTGGAATCAGGTGGCGCTCTGCCAGTTTTGGGGGTTATGATTATAGAAGGTGGTTTTACTCTAATCAGTTTGCAAACCCGTCCAAAGCTGCTGACTGTCACCTCTGTTCATTTCAGAAATTGGTGCCGTTCAGAGTCGATCCACGTCGATACCTGATCGAGGGTTCCCCTCATTCATCCGTTAAGGTTTTCTCTTCTCCCAAAATTCATTCCTAATTGTCTGAGCCCATCCACTTGATTCTATGGAATCCTGGACCGATTTATTGAGGACACGGACTGTTCATCTTTGCTAGCCTTCCCACCAGTTATATTCCTCTCCTCTGGGTGGTGATGTCACTTGGTGTTCGTCCTGTCTTCCTTCTCTCACTCCAACCA